TATAAAGCAAATATACAATCTTTTAGTACATCAAATTTGTTAAGTTCCCATAACTGCCGTTGGACATGTTGCGCAGAGTAAACTACAGGTAACAACGGAAGTTCTAAGATTGTTTAGCTTTGACAAAAAGTATCAATTAAGAAAATTGAAAACTAACGTCTTAACAAAAATTGTAATACCCTCAGACACATAGAGGTAATACAAATAATATAGTAATGACGATTTCATTACATATATCTATTAGAATTGATTATCAGCGTGGAGTACTTCACGTTCAAAATGATGGACGACTTTAACGTAAGTAAGTATGTGTTTCATAAAGTATTTGAATCATGTCTGAAACGCCGTGGCGTTATTATTTTTGCTAAAACCGTGGATCTTATACTATGTGTAACAATGGAAAGGCGGTATTCAGGTCGATGGTATTATGGTATTAAAATTTTTGCTGAAACGGTAGTTTTCAGGTCTATATGCAGCACGGAACGGTAGTTTTCGGATCAGTAGTATAAAATTATTATTGAAACGATAGATTTCTGGTCTATAATAGCAAACGGATTGACGTCTGAGCTTGTTTAGTTTTCGAAAAATAGAACAATAATTGTTATGTTTTCGAATAATCAATTTGATAATGCTTAACTTAAAAGACACAGAATTATTGTAATACTTTAGAATAAAGCTTGATCATAAGGACACTTCTTGTTCGCTTAAAGAATAAATTTTGTTCAACAGTTTGTCATATGTTTCCTAGATCGTCGATCATGCCATGTTAAACGCCTAAAGAGACATGCTGATAATTAAATGTAATCATGACATCTAGTATTGGATAAGCCGTAAGTATACGAGTAAATTATGGAATAAAATCGGGCATTCAAGTAAAAAAGAAGTGTTCGTGTGATATATATATATTTCCCGAAAAATGAACAATCTCAAAACTGTCAATCTGTTGTAAAATATTGACTTGAAATCTACCATTACAGTAAAAATGTTATATTATTGATCTGAAAACCGCCATTCCGTGCTGCATATAGACCTGAAATCTACCGTTTCAGTAACAACTTTATTCTACTGATCCGAAAACTGTCATTCCTTTGCTGCATATAGACATGAAAACTACCGTTTTAGCAAAAATTTTAATACCATTGGTCTGAAAACCGCCATTCCATTGTTATACATATCGTAAGATCCACGGTTTTAGGAAAAATAATAATACCCACGACTTTTCAGACATGATTCAAATACTTTATGAAGCACATACTAGATGTCATGATTACATTTAATTATCAGCACGCGTCTTTAAGCGTTCAGCATTGCATGATCGACGACCTAAGAATCATATGACAAACTGCTGACCAAAATTTATATTTTAAGCGAATAAGAAGTGTCCTTATGGTCAAGGCTTTATTCTAAATTATTACAGAAATTTTGCGTCTTTTAAGATGAGCCTTACCAAATTGATTATTCGAAAACGTAACTATTATTGTTCAATTTTTCGAAAACTAAACAATCTCTGATGTCAATCCGTTTCTATTATAGACCTGAAATCTACCGTTTCTATAACAATTTTATACTACTGATCCGAAAACTTCCATTCGGTGCTGCATATAGACCTGAAAACTACCGTTTCGGCGAAAA